AGATACACTTTTGTAAAATAAATTCAGTGTTTTGAGTCAAGTTGGCAATGTCGGAAATGTAGTTACGTTTCTTTATTCCGGAAGACGAGGTATTCTGCAACAACTTTCGAGTTAACGTCAGAATTTGGTAGCCTCCTCATGGATTTCACGCCTGAACGAAGTAGAATTAGGTATAGAAAATGATGGTTCGATTTGCAAATCTTTGGCTCATGGATTTCAAGGTTTAGGGGATCGTTTGGATTACATTTTGCAATAAGGAACCACTATCTCTGGCTCTTCCATAAAAGCACATTTCTTCATAGGGAAACCAATGGCATACATCGACGGTGAAACTACCAAACCACGTATCTCGGTTTGCGACGTCGCAGACTTCCTGTCATACTTTATTTTTTAAATGAAAAACTACTTAGCACCCAGTCTTGAAAATTTCTATGATTTTTCCTCTTTGTGCGGAGAAAATTCCGTGAAAATGTCAAGGAATGATATTGATTTGGTCTACTTCAAAAAAATAAAATGTGAGCGTAGATTTTTAAACACCGCAAACGAGATACGTGGTTTGGTAGTTTCACCGTCGATATGTTGTTTCTAAAATGAGCTAGAAATAGTGGTTCCTTATTGCAAAATGTGGTCCGTTTATGAAACATGTAACGCTCTAGGGGGGAGTGGAGGGGCCAAGGAGACTGTCATACCACTTTCTTTTTACGTGTTACAGGATAGGGCCCTGCTACGTCACAAGAACGTCACGAGGGGGAGGGGAGTTCAAGGTCAAAAAATCCGATCTTTAACGTTATGTGTTTCATAAACGACCCCTCACTATGAAAGTGGGTAGGATAAAGGCAAACAAAATCCATTGTAATCAGCCGAACGATCAAACGTACGAATTGTAAAGACATCTTTTACAAAAAACTATATCGAACTAAATCTAATGTTCATTTATATTCTTTTTTTGGGCATCAAATACAGAAACCTCGATATATTTTAATTTCCTACTTTTGTACCTTCCCTCAATAGTCTGTCATGCGAGACTACGCGTTGACTTCTCGAGAAGTTTCTAGAGATCAACAAACTGGTAGCATTGCCAAGAAAATTTCCCATCTCAGGCTGTTGGCTGGGGCTTTTTGGGACCTCGAAGGAAGTCTTAAATATAGTCACATAGTGTTCATTGATATCCAGGCATAGCCGCGTCACGCTCCTAGTGAAACTGAGAGAAGACGAGGGCGATTAATTTTTCGTTTGTTTGTTTTTGTTTTGAGGACTGAGTGCTTTAAAAACGATTAGTCACGAGTCGGACTTAGCATATTTACTATAGATGGGCCGAAGAGTTGATAATTACGGTAGAAGTACAGTTCTGTATTTCTAGGAGTTCTCCTGTTCTGTGTGGTCCAAATTGCTGTCATTATGAAAACATTTATTAATTCATTCAAAAAAGCTTTAAGAATTATGTAAGGGATCTAAACACGCCACATAATTGACCGATTGACTAAGGAGTTCCCTAAATAATCTCTCAGGGGATACTATGAGAGTGTTGATGTAATACTTAGTTGCATTGGGTTCACTATCTAGTATCCATGGAAAATACAGGAGGACTTTTCTTTTTCAATTAAAGTAACTCATACTGTAAAGCAAAGACATATTTTGATACATTTTGAGTCACCGCGGTTTCACAACTCCACACCATTGTCAAAACGGCTACGTTCTTTGACACGGTTCCTCAAATAAAAACAAACAATAAAAGAGAAGATCTATTACTAAGATAAAATCACTATCATAATTAATAAATGCTCTTGGTGTCAAAGCACGGAGGACGATAATCGTTTTTATATAATTTATTTTTTAGCGGTAGTGTATAGTTTCCTTAAAATTAATGGTTTCAATTTTAGCGAGCGAGTTCTTTCATCTCAACGGTATGCTCATCTTCCTATGGGAACTTAAAAACGCGCCTACCACGTATATGAACGTACTGGAGCTTTCCCGCTTGTTTTGTTTTAGGTGAGATATTTAACTTGTATATTATTCGAAGTGGAAAGCTTAAGAATGCGCCAATCTCTCACAAAGATTGTGAAATTTGGAGTGAATTTCAGACTCGCTCGATGTTTGTGAGCTTTGAGCCATTTCCCAGGAAAAGTTTGCGGCAGACTTATCCGGGCCGGAGCCGGCCTTGGCCGATGAGTCACCGGCGGATTCTCAACATTTCCGTAAGCTGTGTAACGTGACGGACAGGTGCCTGGTGCTCTTCAAACACCATTATTCTGTTCCTCTCAGGAGCTCGGCGCCTCGCCGCGCCGCGGTTAAATGCATCGCGCGAGCCTGCCGAAGTTCGTTCGCTTAGCTTCCATCGCATGTTCAAAGTTTCGATGTGCATGGATATTTAAAGCCTTTTCAGAAAGTTTGACCTACTCCTCTTCAAATCTCTCTCTTGATCATTTGAATGCAGGATCAAAACGGCACACGATAACTTCCCGACGAATCCGCGATAATATCATCAATAATGGATTGCATTTTGCATAAAGGAGCCAAGAGCATTCCGACGTTGCAGGGATTGTGCAACTTACATTCTTTGCAAAGTAACTACCGGAATGGTAAAAAAAATTAAATTTTTTAAGGTAATTTTCGTCGTAAACTTATAGTGAAAGAAGATAAAACTTGTTTACACTGAAAAAAAAAAAAAAAACTCCGACCGTGGGAGCCGCAATTACGGGCTTATAGACATAACGTCCGTTCCGGGCTCAAAGGCCGAAAATTCCGGCTGCTGGAGCCGTAGCTTCGGCCTCTGAACCCGAAGCAATCGAAGCTACGCCCCCAGCAGCCGGAATTTTCGGCCTTTAAGCCCGGAACGGACGGTATGTCCATATAGCCCGTAATTGCGGCTCCCACGGCCGGGGTTTATTTTTTCAGTGTAGATGATCAGTTCATGCTTGCAAGATAAAAAAAGTTGCACAATCTTAGCGACATCGGAATGCTCGTGGTTTTCTCTTGCAAATTGCAATCTAAATAACACTTTTCGGCCGCATCCGAATGAAATTGGCAAACATTAAACTGTGGGATTCAGCGGGAAATTTTCTCTCCCCTTCCCCTTAAAATTATGAAAATTTTCAATACATTTACTTACTAAGTATGCCTGAAAAAATCGAATAATTAAAGAGGTATTCCATAGGATTTTAATAATTTGCCTTTTTGATTAACTGTGTCCTCAAAGAAAACTTCTAAAGTGACATGTTAGGTCCCGGGTTCGAATCCGGGTATAGGGTCACATTTTCACGGGACTGACGAAAAGATCTGCAGAAACATATTCTGCTCGGCCTTAATCCCTGAAAATTTGAAGAACCTGGAGCATGAATAGGCCAACTTCCAACCATCATTCACATCTTCTTCTTGAATTACAAGCTCCGAGACCTCCTAAATTTGCATATCTGGTAACGCTTAGTTCCAGCGTTCTACCGGGCCGATTTTCATGACTCTTGCAGCTACCGACAGGCAATTATCTTCAGATGAGCTCGCTCTATTCACATTTTGAAATTATGACCCAGGTTTTCTTCAATCAAAAAATCACCAAAATATGAAAAATTAGCTCACTTTTAGAAGATTATTGCCGTTTTAATGAGACTTATAGGCACAGCTTACGATTTTGTCTACATACTTCGTGTCCATGGATACGAGCGAGTCCCCGATTGGCCGCCACGACGTGTTTTTTCTCAATGGCAGAGCCGACCATTGGATATAATGGTCTGAACGAGGGGCGCAGTGCCCTAATCAATGACCTGGCTCGAACTTTGCCGCAATGTTACCAAATGTTAGATAATATCCACTACGGTATCCTCTCGAATGGACTTGGGTCAAATCGGTGAGTTTGGCGCAGCTGAGCGTAGAACCGCGGCTTGCGGCGGTGGCGGTTACGATTGTTGGTCATTGTCAGCGTGACTACGTGTAGCGTTCCAACGTGATTATGTCCTCATTGACTAGCAGGTTGACAGTGCCGAGTCCCACGTCATGGGTTCTCACTCACACTCCGCGGGAAAAGGGTCTAACTCCGTTTTCACGTGAACCATTCGAAGCGTAAAGTCACTTTTACGTTGAGGCTCATCTTGAAATATTGCCTTGTTGTATCTACACGTGACTGGGGCAACTAACCTTTTCATCGCTATCTCAGTAGAAATATCCTTACCCCCTGAACCAGAAAACGCCACACTCATCAGCGAAAAAGCTATTGTCTTAAACTCATCACCAGAACTTATTAATCATTTGTTCACCGGCACACGGTGGATCAAGTCCAAAAGAGAGGTTGGACACGAAATTTTTGACCAAAACTGCAAATTTTGATTTTTATTTTATCACATTTAAAATTTTGAAGTGTGCCTCTGGGAGAACATTCCACTAGGAAATCAATAAAACCACTTTTAGAACCTCAAGATCTTGTATAAACGGAGTAATCACCATTTAAAGTTCCCAAATTTTATCCAACCTCTCCTATTGACTCAATCCACTGTTCGGCAGGGACCGCAACTTCATTGCAGGGATAGTAATGAAAATATATGTGACTTTTCTAAGAAATAAATATGTTATAGGAGTTGATTTGACAACGTCATTGCTCATATGGGGTTTTTCTTAGTGTGGCAGAATAGGTACCTATACCGGGACGATGCGATATGTAATAAAATCTATTGTAAATGCTTTGATGGAACTATTCGTCCACTATGGATGTCCTTGTTGCGTGTCTCAAAAATGAAGGCGTCCTAGCCTCGCGCCCTCTCATTTATTTTCGATCGTGGTAAACTTCAATTCGCGTAACGATTAGTTCTGCCTATTAGGATTGACTTTCAAAAACAAGTAATATGGGGAATTTCATTGTACATTATGACTTCAGTTGATTCTACGATGCTTTTTTTTGTCTTTTATGATGATGATTTTTGATTTCTTGATGTTATCACGAGCCTTTTTTACAAAAGTGAACTTTTTCAGACATTACTTTTTAAAACTTATTCTTTTCTCTTTCTTTTTTCCAGATAATCGATTGCTCTGGGCCATTAAATTAGATATGGTAAGTTAATGATTCTTTTTCATTTAATTTTTAATGCGAATAAAACGATTAATAATCCACAGAGGACTAAAACTGACCATGTATAGAATTATTTTAGTTACTCTCATCATGGAGTCTCTTCTTCATCCGAACATCTAAAAATTAGTTATAAGAAAGCAGGCTCGAAGTAACACGTCTTTTTTCTGTATTCTCTTCGTATGCGGGTGGCTCCTTGATACGGCTTCATCCAAAACTTGACCTTATTTTAACGCTTTCACTGATTAGTTTTCCCTATTTTCTTCCATGCCATGTTTTCTGACTTCAGACTTTTGATCCCCTTTGTTTTGTTTTCACTAAACAATAGCCAAGTCGCAAAGATAAAGTCTTATCTTCACACTTAAAGAATACCATGAATCAATAATCATACAATACGTTGTGACAATTTTATTTTCAAATATGCGACTTGATATCTCAATGAAAAATTAATTTTATTTGATATCCTATTTCATTCGCAACAAGATAACAGCTCCTTTTTTTTATTAAATCGAGACTTATTTTCCTCTTATTTTCTCATCAAATTATTTTCAGCCGCATTCAGACGTGTGCTGATGCGATGCTCAAGTTAGTGTTTTTGTCTAAATCCTTACCTTCGTTTTTTGGTCAGGATTGAAATGAAAAACGTGATGAACAAATAAAAAAACAAGAAATGAGAATCCCAGAGGACGTCAAATCTTTTTATTGATGAGGAGGGGAGAGAATACCCCCAACGAAATGTTAGTGACAGTTCAGAGGAGCAAATTTCACTTCGTTTAATGAGAATAAACCCCTCAAATTTAATTATTTTTTCTGAGATGATTATGACATTATGTGGCTCTCTCAGAGCCGACCTCTGGAGGCTCCTTGCGGGGATTGTTTTCACGGTGTCTGATTTCAAACGCCATGTCCTCGACCTTGTCTTGAATATCAAGTGCAGTGCAGTGCATTAAATAGTAACTAGAGGAGTTGATATTTTAACACTTCTCAAGTATACGTTCGCTATCCACCATAGACGGTGCTGAATACCTACAACTTTAACATATTCTAAGAAAAAGTATTTTTCTACGCACCTACGTGTTTGATTGCTAAGAATTGTCGTTTGTACAGTCGAATTTGGACAGTTATCTTGCATTTGTGTTAAATTTTATCCGGAGAACAAGATCGCTCCTATCTAACAATCATGCCAGAGTCAAAAATACTATTTGGCGTAATTTTACACAATGTAAATGATAAAAAAATTACCAAACAAATACCACAAATTTCGTTTTGTTAACTTTAAAAAAAGGGTAAACGCACCAAGGAGAATAAGAATATAAGAAGCATTAAGCTTGATTCTCGCTTTTATGTATCTAAGGTTTTAATCTTCCGGCAATCGATCATTATTCAGGATCCTAACTAACAAATCGCTCTTATAGCGCTTCTGTGCGCTCTGCGACACCCAACCGTCACTGATAGCGATCCTGCCAGAGCTCCTCCAGTAGATCGCATCTCCTCATTTCCTGCCTTATTCCCTCAATCCACGATTTGGCAGGGCGTACTCTACGCTTTCTCCCAGGAGGAACTCAATCCAGAACCTTCAAATCTCAAAACCTATTCAAGATCCTACCTGATCGAAAAGATGATATTGAAGATTCATGCTTTAACATATTTGCGGTTTTCTCTTCTAAGCACGTACCTTTAAAAAAATACAGCCTTTAGCAAGAAAAATCCTTGAACGATACAAGTAGGTAGATTTTGATCGTCATGAAATGAAAAGAAAGTAAGTTCAGTGTGTTTTGGCGTGTCAAAGCGAGGGTATGTATTGCGCTCGCGTATACCGTATAAAGTGACCAGATGTCGAAAAGATCAAATGGACGAATAGTTGACATGCAGTCACGTGCTGCCGACCACAATAAACGCGTTTGAAAACCGTGCGTTGAATTTCATTTAATCAATTATGAATGGGTATGTTTGGAGTTCGAACACCGCCGCGCATTCCGTTGTAATTTTTCGCGCGGCAAGAACAATAACACGTCCACTCGTTGCCAGATTTATTCTTAATAATTCGTATTATTCGTGCACATAATAATTATATTAATTTTGTAATATTCTAAAATAATTTCAGGTGTAATTAGGAACAAATGCCTTTGTTTATCGAGTTTATTGATGACATGTTCCTATATGACCATCGTATCTTTTAAAATGATCGATTTGGTATGAGTGGCGTGTTATTTTGTGATATCAATGCAATCATTAGTATTCTCACTGGATAAAGGGCTGCCCTCTTCGTTCTTTGACTCCTAATTATTACTGTCTTCAGCAAATGTGTGAATTATTGGTTTTATATGACTTGAGTGGTACTCGAGCATTGACCTATGTAAGTAAGACGATTAAGAGCCGAACCTTTGACGTGGCTCCTACTTTTGAAAGGAATATTAGAAAAAATGAGGATAAAAATTGGAATCAGTTAGGTGAATATGAGCGAAAAAAGAATATGTTAGAACTTTATATCTCGATTTCCGAATGTTTTAATTCACGCCGTTTAGACTTTTTAACCATTTCGGATTTCTATATTTGTGATACCTCACGGGGAAATAGGATCTCAGGCGGTAACTTCGTAAGAACTCAGGAGCAAGTTATCGATACTAGAGTATAAAAGAGTGTGTTAGAGACAGTTCGGGACAAAAACCGACCAAAAATTTCGAACGAAACCTTAAATTAACTCGATAAAACTCAGTGAACTAAAAATTGGACCTCCTTGGACATATCTCAACATCATTTCACCTGGACGTGCATATTTTTGGAAGCAACATTTGAGGGGCTTGGAAGACACGGCGCATGAGTGCAGTTTTTGAAAAAATTGGGATATTAATAATTTTAAGTAAAACTACTCTGGATGCTTATTCTGTGAAAAATTCGCTCCATAATTTCAATGTTTAATAAGGATCAATAAGTCGATTTGATTTTTCTTTCCACCATAAGGATCCATGTAATTTCGAAACTTCAAACACATATTTCTCGAAATAGTAAAAACTGCACTTATGCCCCTCACTGAAAAAAAAAAAAAAAAAAAACACATTGGATCTAGAGTCCAGACTCTTAAAAACATTGACAAGAAAAAGTGCTCTTGATTCAATCAGACTCTAGCTTAAAAACATCGACAAGAAAAAGTACTCTTGATTTAATAATGACCAAGCCTCTTAATTTATGCGGATTTCGTTTTGATTCAAGCAAAAATCCGATTGAATCCAGAGTATTTTTTCTTGTCAATGTTATCAAGAGTCTGGACTCTAGATCCAATGTGTTTTTTTTTTTTTTTTTCCAGTGCTTGTCCTCCAAACCCCTCATTTAAAGTTCGAGAAAAAAATGAGAAAATTGGTCTATGAGAATAAGTGTGTACGAAAAAACTTAAGAGCACAACATATTGAAAGTTTGAAGAGAGACAGAGACCTAGCTGAAGGCTACGATTCAGAACTAAACGGGAATTTCCACTTGACGGAGACAACGTCGGGTCAAGAAACGAGAGGTCATGAACAGGGGAGTTGCGATTTATTAGCCGTGGCGCGCGGAGCACCGGACTTTCGACGTTCAACGTTCAAATCGAACAAGGAGTAATTGGATTTATTTCCTGCAATGAGAGGACAATCGGAATGCCTTCACCGTATCGTATTAGAGCTCTAATACAGGCAGGAATGCACAGTAACACAGTGACCCACAAAACAACAGTCAAGTCGGAAAATTAATCTAGAGTATCTTTATAGCCTCCTAACACCTAGAGATTTCACAATTTTTACAGTGCTTCAGTCCTGAGCCAATTTTCACTTTTCGCATTTTTACTTTCCACGCAGCGTCAAAAATCGAAACAAAATTAATCTCCCTTTTGCAGCGTAAAATAGATTATTAGAGCTCGCTTTTTAAGTTATTCAATGGTGTCAGTGCAGTGCTCTGCGGCCCCTGGCGACTCAAACTTTTAGAGGCACGTAACAAAGTGGCGAGGCGTGAATGATGATTATCGATATTTCTCCATTTGAAGCTATGGTAAAGAATCGATTATTAAGGTGTTCGCTGCGAACACCCTGTCTATCGATCATTTTCTATAGGATTGAATGGCAAATCAATCGATATATCACAAAGCACGCCACGCCACTGATCGTAACAGCCACACTTCCGTTTTGCATTTCACCAACTTTTTAGTGTATTTTCCGAGGGCAAACATACCATCATGATCTTCCGTAAATTCCGTAATTCATAAGTATGGGGGGGTTTGTTTTTTTTTTTTTTTTTTTTTATTTTTTCCCCTGCTCGTTCAGTATCAAATATGTGTGACTCGTGACACACAATATCGGCATCTTGTAATTTATTTATTTATTACGCACATCTATTTATTGAATGACTCCAACTGGATGGCTAGTATCTAAAGGAAATTTACTGCATTCACAGTTATTTTCCAGACATTGGAACTGATGTCTAAATGCATATTAAGTCAGTCAATAGCATAGATTACCGGTTTCCGTGTGTATGTGTAATTCCCTGATATTCTACGACGATCAATGGAGCAATTTCAAATAATGAAGTCGCTCAATTTTATAAATGGTCACATTATGCAAAAAACCTGCAGGTAATTACCTACTGACTTCCAATTTTCGTCTGACCATTTTGACATTCATTCTTGGCGGTGAAAACGCTCGACTTAATTTTAATAGGCCCATGAACGTCACTGAACTTTTACTTGATGACAGCGTGTACCTACTTTAAAGCGTTTCTAAAATGTGCAAATCGCTCTCTAGATGATTCTAAGTTTTGTATAAATCGACCTTAAAGTTACATTAAAATAAAATCAATGTCACTAGCAGAATAAACGATCTGTCCAACGCTGATGATATACAACCATTCTAAACTTGTAGTTTACTCATTAGATACACATCATGAATGAGAAAATATGAGATGGAGGGTTGCATCAATGCAGCATAGTCGCATTGATGCATTATTAAAAAAAATAAAATTGTAAGTTGCGTTTCATCCGCTTTTCAACTCACATTCCACGGTTGAGTCATAATGTTGGACATTGATTTGCGCGACCCAACAAACTCGAGTCCAAGTTATGTTTCCTACAGTTTTTCTTGGGATCGAAATCTCAAAGTCCTGGACGACCTCCTCCTCTACTTAAAAATTACCTAACGCCTGATAGAACCGCTTTTCCTCTAAGTATTCCCATTCTGTTTTTTGACTAATTTGTTCAAAAATCTATTTTTTCTCAAATATTTTTGCTTTGTTAAACTTGGAGCCATTCTGTATCGCCATTTTTTCTCTTTTACTTGGAAACGCATCAAACGTTGATATTTAGCCCCTCCCCCCAAATACATTCGGTAACAGTTTAACGTGTCCTTCTTCTCTTAACATGGTCAGTCCTACCAGATATTAATAATCGGCAATTACAGAATTTGAAAAAGACATTTGATGAAATGCCTGATTTGACTATTTGCCTGCGACATGTACACGTTCAAAATCAGCTTCTGAAAGCACTTGTGAAAATCGTTAGTTTTCAGATAGCTGGTACTGTTCTTTAGTCTTCACACTGCTATCTAAGGGACTCAGTGCTGTCATTTCCCGGAATTAACTCCGAAATTCGGAACTTTTCAAGTATTCGAAACTTTTCCCGGAATCTTCTGAATCCCCGGAATTTTCAGCTATTTTTGGAATTTCCTCGAAATTTGCAGTTTTTTGCTAGTTTGACAATTTATTTGATCAAATTCGGGTACTTTTTGATCAAATTTGACGGTCTTCGGAAGTAAATCCAGGCGTATTTCGGAATTTTCCCCCGGAATTTTTATTAGAACTTTGGCAAATTGGAATATGTTTCCGGAAATCGGAAACATCTCGGAATCTTTTAATAGAATAAAACGGCAGCACTGATAAAGGTGATAAACGAGCGCTTTAGTTAATGAAACCGGGGGATTTGTATGATTTCAGACGGAGGCGCAAGCGGAGCTTTGATCGAGGAGCCGAGAGTTGGGAGCCGGAGCGGCGCACCGAGTCCTCACTTCCGTTATCCTTGGAATATGTGAACAGCAGTCCATTGCTCACCGCTCAACTCATCGGGCGTCTCGTTAATTGCCCACCGTCATTGCCACCGCCACCACTGCCGCCACCGCCGCCGCAGTCGCTGGGCCCAACCGTCAACTCGGAGCGCCTCCCGTTCCGCGCGCCGCAACCCGCAACGCCCTCGAAAATGGGGCTCAGGCTCGCTTTTCTCCTCGGTCTGGCCGCCCTGCTCCGTGCTGAGCTCGCCGAGGAACCCACCTGTCCCGAGGAGGACGACTGCGACTGTCATTACTTCAGGATCAATTGGGTTACCGACTGCTCGGAGAGTAACCTCACCTACATCCCGCACGATGGGCTGGATTTGAGGGTCTACGAGCTCAACATGAACGGCAACGGGCTCAGGGATGTCGATCCCTTCCCGGAGGGCATCAAGCTTCGATCCCTCAAGTTGGCCGACAACCTCTTGACGCATATCAAGAAGGACACCTTTGCCGGGCTCCAATATCTCGTCGATATCGACCTCTCCGGCAACAACATCCACACCATCGACCCGGAGGCTTTCAAGTGAGTATCATCACTTACTATTCAAAACCCGCCAGTACTGCCGTGCTAAGGAAGGACGCCGTATGAACCTCCAGGCGTTGCCAGATTTCCTTTACTGAAAACCGAATTAACTGGAAAAATTTTGAATATTTTTTTCCCCAATTTTTCAGATAATTTTGATCGCAATTTGATCCAACATACCTGAAAATTTTACGGAGAAATATGCGCAACTTTCCTCAAAAATACATGTTTTATCGGGAGAAATTTGGCAACCCTCGAATGATCATACGGCGTTTTTCCTTAGCGCGGCAGAGTAGGTCAGTCGCACTGGTCACGGAATCGTGATTTGATGGTTGGAGCTTATAGGTGAGCAAAAACTAATACGATATGTCCTAACACCAAGTTTTTACGTTTGGTATTAACGGAGATATCGCTCATCGAAAAAAAACGGCGTATAACGGTATTCACCCCTAAAAAGCATACTTATGTGTTTGAAATGTGGTTGTGGTTAGGATGTTTCTTCTACCTAGGGGTTTCGCCTGTTTTTCACGTCAAGCAATCTCTGCAATGAGTGTATCGCTGATTGATGTCATTAAGGTAGAAGAAACCATAGTATGAACTACCGTGGTGGATGACATCATACGTTGTGTTTTTCAACGCGCGATAGCCCCGCCAATATTAGACGTAAAAATTTAGCACTTGTACAGGTCTTGCTATTATTTTGATGCTATTTTATAATCTTACACCATCAAAACACAACTTTTCGATTAGCTCAACTGTCGCATTATATATAATATCCTTGCTCATTAATACATGAAATTCCATAACGTGCTTCACTTTCCATCTCTGAACCTTCCTCACGGAGGCATCGGTGAAAGCCAAATAGATTTTCCGAAAAATGTTTCTTATGTTGGTACTCCAGCATAACGTCACTCCTCCAACGAAAGGGCTTACCTCCATTTCCACGTGAGCCCTGCTCTTCATATGATACTATGCTTTCCGGGGCTCATCCGGAAACAGAAATACGCCCTTACGTTAGAGAAGCGACGATAAATTGACGGTGAAACTCCCAAACCACAAAGCTCGGTTTGCGACGGTGCAGACTTCCTGATATATTTTATTTTATAAAAGAGAAACTACTTGCACTGGGAAAAAAAACACATTGGATCTAGAGTCCAGGCTCCTAAAAACATCGACAAGAAAAAATACTCTTGATTCAATCAGATTTAAGCTTAAATCAAGAACCAAGCCTCTTAATTTGAGCGGATTTCCTTTTGATTTAAGCTTAAATCTGATTGAATCAAGAGTCCTTTTTCTTGTCAATGTTTTCAAGAGTCTGGGCTGTGGATCCAATGTGTTTTTTTCCCCTTTGTGTACTAAAAGTCGATTCTTTTAAACTTCTGAGAGTTTCCTTCTTCGTGGGGAAAAAATTCTTCGAAACCATCAAAAAATGACGTTGATTCGTTCTCCTTCACGAAAATAAAAAAGAAGGCAGGGATTTTAAAACACCGTAAACGAGATAACTTCTCGATTTCGGAGTTTTCTCGTCGCAATGCGCAGAGATACACAATTTTACCGATGAATTTTTTTATTTTAAAACCAAAATTTTGCATTCGAACGATTTTTCGTCTCACCAAGTTAACGTCTTTCCCGCTTTACCTGATGGGACGCTACCGCTACCGCAGAGGCTAACCGCTTGTTCCTGACTGTAGGACTCCGCTAAAGTGCGGCAGAGATAGTACTGCTGAGGAAGAACGCCGTATGAACATTCGAGAGTTGCCAAATTTCCGTCACTAAAATGTTTATTTTTGGGAAAATTCATGAATATTTTCCCCCGAAATTTTCAGAGACTGGTTGAAATCGAGAACAAAATTATCCGAAAAATTGAAGGGAAACTGCATGATATCACCGGGGAAGTCGTGTTTTATCAAAAGAAATTTGGCAACGCCTAAAAGTTCATACGGCGTTGTTCCTTAGCACGGCAGAATACCGAGGTTCGGCATGGAAACTGAAGCAGGGAACGCGGTAACCGCAGCGCATTGCAAAGCTCGCCGAGTATGCTGCGAGTTTAATTAAGATGATAGTTTGTCTTCGAGGCGTAACTTGCTGATACTGCGGGCCCCCCGGGCCCCCGGCCCGGGGGGCGGGGGGGGCGCTTACTCCTCGCGGGACGTTCCCTAGTCCTCGTCTCATCGCGTATTCTCTATTCAGTTCCATCTCCGTCCTCATTGTCGCTATGCATCCACTCCATCTCTGTCGCACCGATCGCAGGTGCTTGAGATTCCCGACTCGCCCACTTCGTTCGGATAATATTTGCCTCTCATTTACCGTCCGAATCAGCAAACATTTGTCACCTGCCTCCTTGTCGAACTTGAGAGACTCCATCGACGGTCGCGCTGAAATTCGGGGATTCCGCCGTTGTTTCGGCAATAATGGCTTCGGAATATTCAGAATTCTCGTTCTCTTACCTATTATGTAGTCATGTCGAATGATGGCGAGATAACGCACGGGGAAGAAATGCCTAGATTCGTAGATGCTTGCACCACTCCATGGTGGATTAAGTTTCGGCGCACGGCCTTTTGGATGCAGTGCGATCGAATTTCAAAGATCGTCTAGAGAATTATTCTGGAAGAGTTGAAATGTTGCTCTCTAGATCAATCATTAAGTATCGTTACAAAAATCGTCTCAAACCAACTTAATATAAGGTCAAAATAACGTTTCTGATAAAATATTCCCTGGTTAAAATTGGCAGTAGAATCTGTGTTCGAAAATACCATAGACCTAAAGCCGGCTGTAAGATTCCCAATAGCTTCTATGGCCGGATGCACAATTTCTTATAGCCTTTTTTAGCCGATGGCGATGAAGCAACAGCCAGGCGATAAAGTGTATGCTAAATGTTACTAATAACGGATACAAGGACTTATTGAGTTTTTGGACTGCCGCTCTATTTTTGGGTCGTAGTATCTTGATTTATTTTGCGCGGAAAGCTGCGTACTTTTGAAGGATGCCTGTCATTCCTAATATGTTGGAGCGCCTTCAATTTCGTATGATACTGTGCAATTCCTCTGGTGTGAAATGGTTGCTTCAAGCGCCGTGGCACGCTGCGGCGCGGCGGGCGGGTAGCCAGCGAGAGAAGCGCATTAGCGCCTACAAACCTAACAGGGATACTTCAAGCATTGCGCAATACGTGAAGTATCCCTGTTAGGTTTGTAGGCGCTAGTGCGCGCTTAACTCTGGCAGCACGCCGCGCGCCGCTCCGCTCTGTGTTAGGCTCCAATATATAATCTCGCGGAGTCAACGTTTTTCAACCCATGATTTTAAAATGTTTGCACATCCTGTATAGATTATTCTCATTTTAATTGATTAAAAAAAAATATGTATTGAAGGAAAATATAATGTGTGTTTTGTAAAAATTATGGTGGTTCCATATCAAACTTAATGATTTCCAAAGCGCACGATTTTCTACACAATTTCTTATAGCCTTATATAGCCGATGGCGATGAAGTGTAAAGCCCGGCGATAGGAGCTATAGCCCGGCTGTATACATTTTTTATCGCTTCGTATAGCCCGGCTGTATGATTTGCTCCGCTTTCTACAGCCAGCTATATGATTTTCTATTGCCTTCTTTAGCCGGCTATAAGAATTCCTATGTTATTTTGAAACGCAGCTCATATCGCAAATTTTTACCAGGGTTCTTATCACGTCGAAAACAGTTTTAAATTAGAACTATGCTTAAACCTTTATTAAGGTTTTGAAGTAAGATTTTTTAAATGGGCATTCTTTAAGGTATTTGATTGATTTTTTAAAAATTCCTGGAATCAGCAACATGTATATCTGTAACAAACGGACACTGACAATGTATTAAAGAATTTAATAGACTAGCTCGTAGCTTGGCATTGGAATAATTTTTAGTTTAAGAACAACAATGAAATAAATCAATAATTCTTTTCAAATCAAAAAAAGAAGAAGGCGGGGATCAAAACAGAATACTTAGTAGAAAGTATAGTAAAGGTTCATGCTCTAGGCCCAGCCCCGCATGAACTCACATGCCGCACATAAATTTGTGAGAAAATCAAACCCCAAAAATTTAATTAATAATACATGGACGTCTCTCTCTTAACCGTGGCAATTGTTATCTGTTTCAGAGATAGTCCCGGGCTGATCAAACTGGAGATCCAAAACAATCCATTGGAACTGGTTGGAGGTCCTTTCCTAGCGTCAAGGTCTCTTCTCTATCTGTACATGAGTGACTGTCACATTTCAAAACTATCTCCTCAGTTCTTCGCCAATATTACAACCCTCCACACTTTAGATCTGTCTGGAAATCCACTCCGTATTCTGGAACCGGGTATATTCGACGATCTGCGAAGCTTGGAATCCCTGACCCTCAATAGGTGTAATATCACGTACATCTCGAATACAGCTTTCATTTTCTTAGAACATTTGAAAGTGTTGGAATTAGCGGAAAATAATTTGAAGAGTGTCGAATGGCCGATTGTGCTGGGTCCACTAGGTCGACTGGAACACCTGGACCTTCGTCACTCGGGTATATCCAATTTGCCGGAGAACGCGTTCGGAAATAACACGTGGCTAACTCGACTCATTCTGGCAGAAAACGAGTTGACTGACTTGGATGTGGCAACGACACTTGGCCATAATCTGATCCATTTGAGTGAGCTCGATCTCTCCAACTGCCATCTGAAAGGGCCTTTGTCCGAGGATGCTTTCGCCAACGCCACTAACCTCAAAGTGCTCTACCTTGCCGGCAACCACCTATCTGCCGCCGATTTGGCCGTCGCTCTAGCGCCTTTGGTCAGGTTGCAAGTATTATCCCTCAGGAATTGCGGCTTGACCAGATTCCCAGCTAACACGTTCCATCGGTTCACGTGTCTTCAGGAGCTGGACATCTCCAGGAACCCGCTCAACGGTGCCTTCACGGCTTTGTTGTCTCCGTTGGAAACGCTCGAGCACTTGAACATGGGCTACAGCAACTTAGAACACATCTCCAAGAACACGTTCGAGAGGATGACCTCCTTGAAAACTTTGATTCTCTCCGGCAACCGGTTGAAAAGCTTAGAGTCAGGTCTCTTCCAGAATCTGACCCACTTGAAGACTTTAGAGCTCAATAACTGCGGTCTCGGAAGATTGAACGAGACCGTTTTCTTCGACAACTACACCTACCCGGACTTGGAAGAATTGAGGCTCTCCGGAAACCCTCTGGAGATCCCAGCATCCGGTTCGATCTTGCCTCACCAACTGTCAAGATTGAGGATTTTAGACTTAAGCAACTGTAACATCACGCACTTGACACAGAGCACTTTCCAGACGTCGAGGAACATCACCAAGCTCATTCTCTCTGGCAACAAGCTGTCCAACTCGGAGGACGCCTTGAAATTCTTGGAGATGCTTCCATTCCTGGAGAATCTAGACATGAACAACAACAGCCTATCGCACATCTCCCCGTCCGTCTTCGGCAAGAATTACGAGCTGATGACGTTGAAGCTTCTAGGGAACCCATGGAAATGCGACTGTAATATCGCCGACATGTGGGACTGGGCGTCCCAGGAGAAGGGCGAGCTGGGAGTCCTGGTCGGCTCGACGGCGTCCGTCGGCGATGGCGTGAGCAGCTCCAAGAAGAAGCGGGTCCTCACCTGCTTCTACGACATCAAAACATCCCCGACGAAAGCAAAGGCGACGAGACCCGGCAGAGAACTGGCCACGGTCGCCAATAAAACCTGGGCCAGATACGTCAAGGAGGCCGACTGTCCGTCCACGAACAAGATCCACAAACCGGCCAAAATCGTGCGTGAGATCCGCGACGTATCCTCCCAGGCGGAGTTCGTCAAGGAGGCTCGGCTCGGGGATCGAGCTCAGCCGTCGTGGACCCTGCTCATCGCCGGCAGCGCCATGCTCATGATGGCAGTCGTCGCTCTCTTCCTCACCGCCAGCATGTTCTTGAAGAAGAAGCGCACTCACACGCTCATCAAGGCCAAAACTCCCTCTCTCGACGAGGACGTGGATTTCGCCAAAAGGGGCGTCCTCAACGAAAAGCCCCGAACACTCAGGAGAGTTGTCAAATGACCTGAGACTCCCGCCAACTAAGCAGAACTTCATTCACCACCAAGCTACTTTTTAAACGGAGACTTGCGTCACTCCTATAAATCGTAATAGGTCATAGGCCCAAGAGCGAAATTACACAGGAATATCCACGTTTTTGGCCTTGTGCATTTGCAGTGATACTGAATTGGTCTGATGATCGGAATGTGATTTAAATAAATTTCCAATTATTCATTTATGGTGCTCTAGAGATTATTATTTTGAGGCAAAGTCAGGCTCTTGTTGCAAACTTTTAGAGATAATTGGATTTATCATTCTCGGCTAACCTTCTTCACAATGTGTTTTTCTTTTTCAAATGGCACACGGCACATGAACTGATTGTCGCCGTATGTTTATTTTATGTTAGACCACTTCTTGGTAAAGACCGAAACTGTCAAGAGTGAGCGGGTTACTACAGGAGATGACATTTTCAAAGGTCTTTTTGCACGTGCCAGAAAAATTAAAAGATTGAAGCTACTGATACTCAGGTTAAAATTGAAATTCTGATTTACACGGCAAAATAACAAGCGATAGACCTTCGTAGCTCACTCATTATTTAGGTTGGAATCCAATCCATTCCGAAAAGGTATTTATTTCATGATCTGATCGTGAGATGGCTCAGAGATTCGCCCTCCGACTACCGTTCTAGGAAAACGGCGATACAGATCTGAGTGTGAGAATATTAAAAGAGACTGGTGATTGTCATCGTTTTATGAATAATTAATTTAAGTTCCTATTAGGTCTAATAATGACTCACGTTCTCCGTACTATCCAAATGGTAGTGGAACATCACTTTGCTGTTACATTCAATGCGTTTTATCCATTTTATCCTTGCTTAAAAATGTTTTCTTTAAAAAGAAAAAAAAATGCGCAGTAATAATTCGCCAAACATGATGCACAAACAACGAGCCATTTACGCCATTCAGATATTCATGACACTGCAAGACGTTAGTATGTCTGCGATACTGATTCAAAGACACTGAACAGTAAGAGTTAAATATATAGTCTTCTCTTTCTTTATTATTTATACACATACTTGTTTATTTTTAAATGAGAAGTACGGCTGCATGCGACAATGCAGCTCGTATTCTCTCAGCATTTAGGAACTGATTGTGAACTTTAAGCGTAGACTTTCAATTATTTATGGTTTAAGACAAATCACACGATTCGAAAGCAATTTACCATCAAATTCTATCGTCTTCATTTTTTTTGTCAGTGGTGATTTCACTTTTTCCACTTTTCAAATAACCACTATTATTTTTTTCCTAAACGAAGTTCTTTTGTCATTTTTATTTGAAGATTTGCTGCGCCCTGGTCCAAACTAAATGTGGTGATTTTGACACGTTCTAAATATCACTGTGTTCATGAATTTGCACTGCGCTGCATAGCTTGTAAAGTGTATCATAGGTCAGAGGGAAGACTAAATTAGATTTAACCTCTCTACTTATTAAAAAAAATAATCCTCGCGAAGAATTATGAATGCAGAATTCAACTTTGTGATAATATCAGAACTTGAAGTTTGGCGCAAACATACATGTGTGCATTGCGCATATGATGAAATAAACTCAGTGTTCAAGTAAAGTTAATGGCGTCATTCAAAAATCAGGACTGGCTGTCATTTCATGTTAACATATAGAGTGTGTCGAACTTGACATTTAGACACTTTACAGTGAGATGATTTTTTTTGAAGAAGTTTGATCCTGGCCGGAAATAAACGACTTCTTATTCACCTGTCGAAAAATATCGGGGATTGTCATGCATTCCACAAAGGCTACGTGACATAACAAGACCCTTAAGACTGTACAATAGAAAAGTAGCGAAGGGCGTTTTTTCATTCATTTCCGGTCTTGTTGTTGAAAACTCAGAACATACTAATGTATGTTCCTTAATAGGAACAGTCAAAAATACCTATATAAAACATTTAAAATTCTCTTGTGAGTTTCAAAATCATGGAAGCTTGAGGTAGACAAAAAATAAATTATAGAGCACAACAATTTGGAAAAGACGGATAAGTATAAGGTAAATAGACCGAAGAGGTTGCAAACGTAATTTGAAGCCTACCTCACATTTGATTATAAGTCCTTATTTATCCAACATAAGGTTAAGCTACAGCTAAATTTCTGTTTTGTTTGCATCATCATTTCAGCACTATGGTGCCGTGTTTTAACAAGGGTGATAAAATACTTTAATGCCTGATAACAAGGATACCACGAGAATGAACAGTGGAGTTCAGATAATAGATTCAAAATCAACTCTGATTACAACGCTTTAATTTTGAGAATCCATTTCAGATATAAGAAAAATGTTTACATTGAGCATTGAGCTCTCATCGAGTATATCTTGAATTTATCCATTTTACGCTATGAAATGTTAGCAATGCCTCCTTAATTGAACCAGGTAATCAAAAACAAGTTTTGCACTCAGAGATTTTTTATTGTGTGATCGGAGTCGTGTATGATTAGAAAACTCGGTTTTAGAAGAATGAACAAAGTTTTTTATTCTCTAAGTGCCCAATTCAAGGCTTGTTTTATAATTTATTGTAATCCTTTTTTCTCATTGTGAAAAAGTTAGTTTTTTTTTTAATTTATTTATTTAAATCTCCATAATCATCACATGCCTTATAAATATTGTTTTTTGTTTTTCATAGCATAGAAACACAATTGACTATCAGCTGTATGTTTAGCAGGGAAAATACAAAGAATGATTATTTGTTGCCCTTTTTTTCAAATGTGTAATCTATGTTTATTCGCAACAACCATATTTGCAAGCATCATGTAAGATTGATACATTATTCAATAATTTATTTGATTATTCTTTTTCTACTCATTCCATGTTTCCCTTAATCTTGTTTTGCTACCGCTAGTTTGTTTTATAATCAGTTAGTTTTTAATAAATTTGTTAGTTGTTTAAAATATAAAATAATAAGTGTTATCTGAAGTTTGAGTTTTCATTTTCATAACAATATACTTGGCCCTGTCACGAAATGATAAGGATACCGCCGAGGTAAAGGTTTAGGGGTAGTTGTTTTTTAGCACTATGTAGCCACCACCCTCCGCAGCTTCAAAGAATTTTATTACTCTTAAATTCATTATAATAACACTAATGGCAAAGTCAGACATGGCCTATTGGACTTCAACCACAGCGTGAAAGTGTACGAATGACCTGAACAAACGAGTTATTACATGGTAGACATTGGACTGCCAAAAATTCCGCCGTGTTGGATCTTGTAAATGATGTGGTGTAACAGACTGATCTAGTACATCCATTTCCTTTTTTCTATAATCGAGATATCAATTTGCGATGATTGCGATATTCGACGTAGTTGATTCGCGATTATTCAAACCAAAACAATTTAAAAACTTCATTCCCAAATTCTGTGTGAATTAATTGTGTTCAGTAATTCATTGTACAATTTTGTACCTAATTAATAATTACAGTCATAAATTAATTAATGTCTTAAGAGACACGTAAAATTTCAATTTCAAAATTCACTAGGACGCACACTACGCACAGCCTACCATAAAGGCACGAATACGACAAGGTTATGTGTCTGTTTAGAACGAAACAATTGAACTAGGTATGAGGCTTCGAGCAGCTTTGAGATACCTGTTTATACTCAGTGCCGAAAAATCTTGAAACATTTATAGTGATCTAAAATTTAACAAAGGGGTCAGACAGTAAAAAAGGATGTGAAAAATGTAACACTGTCAGAAAAATGAAAAGGAAATCATATTCCAATTAATTTTTTCTTTCCACACGCTTGAACTCTTAGACATTTTTATAGAAACTATGCGCATTTCCAATGCTGTGCGTGGTTTTCTCCGATACCTTTAAACTAGAGTCTAAAAAACGAAAGCCGGGACATACAAGCACAAATTTTTAGAAAAGAAAGAGCTGAAGAGAGCTCATGAGACTGGGTTTCAGATAATTTTGATAAAGTTGCCCTGCGTGTAAGAATTAAACGGAAAGAGCTTGTAGAGTAGGCGCGATTTATAACCATATCAAGAATAGTCGTTGAACTCTTCCCTTAACATCGAGTCATAAGGAGAGTATATCTCTTCAAAAATATATCTATCTCTCTTCAATACTGATGCGGCCAGAAGCGTCTCTGTTGAACTCGGCTCATTCACTGCTCCATTGACGATATAATTCAACAGTAAAATGTTAAGACCATCTTTACTCTCGAAAGCACCAAAAAGGAGCCTTCGACGGTGTCACAACGATCACTCAGTCAAAAATACTAACGATGAAGATTACTTCACCTGTTCAAGAAAATGAAATTTACCAGAAAGCGCGCCGTGCCGGATAGATACGCGATTGTGAATGCATATGATGTTGCATATCACTCATTGTGCAGGAGTCTCGACGGTATAAGTTCCCAGGTTCTGCTGGACAGAAACGAATGTTTTGCTGTTGGCCACTCATGTTTTATTTCACTCTCTCATTTATTTTTACATGAAAACCAGCGAATAGTGGTTCATGAAACGTTCCGCAAATTGTCATCATCCATTTGAAAATATTTACGTAAGAAAAATGTTTTTTATGATGCTGCGTTGGAGAATTTCGCGAAACTCCCGTGTTCACAATTCCATTTTACAAACTATGAGGGTATTTTACAAAATATGAGGGTCAGTGTTGAGTCGTGAATGATCGATTTTCGATATTTTTCCATTTGATGCTATGGTAAAGAATCGACTAAAGTGTTCGTTCCGAACACCCTGTTTATCAATCTTTTTCCATAGGTTTAAATGGAAGATCAATCGATACATCGCAATGGACCACTAGACAAGGTACGAATTTCAGCATTCTGATACATGTTTCTCAACCAAAATTTCACGTGAACACGATACGCACAACGAAAATTACCAAAATCAACTCCTGACGAAGATATTTAATGATTCTTGATGCGTGAATTCAAACCACCCGCTCATGAAAACTCAATGCTCTACGTGATTCACATCGCGCGATAAATGTTTATCATGACAGTCTCTGCGATGTAAAAATCTTCAACTTCAATCTTGACACTTTGGCTCAGCTATAGCAAATTACCAATAGTTTGAACAACACATGGTGGAAAATGAACATTGCTCGATTGAGAAGCTTGCTGAAACCGTTGTAGTGCGCGATTTGACTCACGTAGAGCTTTGAGTTTCTTGTGAGCGGGCAGTTCAAATTCCTCTTAATCAGTGCGAAATAAAAACGTTAATATCTTCGTTAGAAGTTGATTTCGGTAATTTTCGTACTGTGAATCGTGTTCTACGTGAAATTCTGGTTAAGAAACATGTATCAGATTGCTTAAATTCGTACCTTGTCTGGTGGTCCATTCACGCCACAACACTGATGAGGGTTCTCCTAAAAAGAAATAGCTGTTACAGAAAAGACTGCTGCGAGTAAGACCTGCAGATAAGCTTCATGATTAATCTACTAACCGAAGACATCAATTTTGGCTGATATAATCGTATTAGTCATTTCGATTTTTTGAAATTGATCGGAGTCGATTTTACGATTTGATGAACGCTTGAAATCGGTGAACGGCTGAAACATTTAGGTTCAATTTTGTCTAACTTTTGAAAATTTTAACGGAAACGGCAATTTTAAATGATTTCGATGAGGAGAATTGAAGAGAGGAAAATCAAAATATTGCCGTAAATTATTAAATCGTATTGGCATTTTTTCAAATTGATCAGAATCAAACAGATTTACTGAAATCTTTACTGAACAAAATAATTTGCAGTTTTAGCACCTAAAAAGTCAATGAAGTATCTGGTGATCCCAAGACGCTGCCTTTACTGCCCCCGCAGTTAACTTTACATCCTGCGAATGCTAATTCAATTGCATGGCCAATTAAGGCAGCATCTTAGGATCACCAGACACTTTTTTGACATCAGGTGCTAAAACAGCATATCATTTTTTCAGTGATTTTCTAGAAAATGACTATCCCTACCTTCAGGCTCAATCAAATACTCAAACGTTTAATCCATTTTCCCGAAGCTTGTACACGTTGCTTTTCATCACACTGAAAAAATAATATGCTGTTTTAGTATCTAGATTGTCAAAAATGTGTCTGATGTTCCCAAGATGCTGCCTTTATTGCCTCCGCAGTTAACTTCACATCCTGTGAATGCAAATTCAATTGCGTGGGCAATCAAGGCAGCATCTTAGGATCAACAATAAAAAAAACAATTTAAAAAGCGGGTATAACAAGGCTAAAATTTAACATTTACAAAACCAAAACGTTTCGGCTGAAAATTCAGCCATCCTCAGTTGGATAAATCAAAATAAAAATGGTTAAAAATCTAAAATAGTACCTGATAAGTACCTTTCAATTGGGAATGTTGTTACTATCCATCTTAGGATCACCAGACACATTTTTGACATCCTAGGTGCTAGAACAGCATACCTTTTTTTTCAGTGTATTTGCTCCCAGACACCCTCCCTTTGGGTGGATGGCAAATCCGAGGCGAAGAACAAAACGGAAGATTTACTCGCGATGAAGAGCCATGAGCGTCTCCCTCCCTCTCGAAGGGATCTTTCCGGCGGCGAAGAGCGCGGAAAGCGAGTTCATGTTGTCTGCGCGCGATGTAAAACACAATTCTAGTTGGGCGAAAATACAAGGGCGCACTGTAACTGCTGAGCCATGATGGAGCACTCAAGAGTGACGACGGGCTTTTATAAAATAAATAAAGTCACGGCGCGATCCTCGGCATTTTATTGCTCTCGGTGTGCCGGCCGCGACCGCCGCGCCGCCCCACGCGCGAGGGAGGGACAATAGCCATTGAAGACGGATCAAGTGTTCTCCTGCCCTAAGGAAAAACGACGTATCACCGTTCGAATGTTGTCAAATTTCTCTCGAGGACGTATTTATTTTTTGGGAAATTTACAGTGGCGACTAGAGTCCCTTTATATTGAGAGTCAAGACAACACCCCCGCTTGGAGTCACAAACGGGAATAAAGATTACAGAAATGAAGGTTTTTTGTAATCTTTGATCGGCCCATTCTCATATTCCTTTCTCTGTTCCTTCTCTCATTCCGTTTGTTCCTTGCCAAACCCGTAATTCCCTGGTCCATTCCAGATTATAATCTTTGCAATCGGTGAAAATGTAATCTTTATCCCCGTTTGTGACACTGTGAAAGGCCTAAAATACGGGAACCAATCAGAAAGGATTCACATTGTCTTGACTCTCAGTATAAAGGGACTCGAGTGGGACTCGCGTGAACGACAGGCATGTATCCGGAGGGGGGAGGGGGCTTAGAAAAAAAAGGAAGGGGTGCCTGATAAAAGGGTTATTATGATATAATAATTTTGATTACTTTCAAGTGATGTAAGCTAAAATATGCTGTTGGATTCATATTTCAATGACAGATTATCCGTGTCTCTTGTCTAATCAAGTACGTAAATATGTTGATAGTTTCTTTAATTTTTAGATTAAGGATTATAAGTTGGACTATAAAACGCATAGGGCTCAACCCCATCCCCCCCGAAAGTTAAAAAAGCAGGAAAAGAATAAAGAAAAGAAGAGACAGAGAACAAGATAAGGCGAGATGGATAGGAATTTTGACCTTTTAAAGTGAGTCAGAATAGAGTTAAAATTTCAAAAACATTCCAGATGTGTTGAATGCAGCAATATGACGGTATTTTAAGCCGAAAGTAAAAAAAGAAACTTACTTTTTCCGCAGAATTTGGTGGTTAATCTAAGTCACGGAGGCCTCAAAATGCGTCCAAATAGATTTAAAATTGCAAAAATTTATCGGGGGAGGCCCCCGAAGCCCCGGGCCCCCCTGAACTGGGAGGTATTCCATACTACCCGAGCTCCCCCCCCCTTGTTCGGGGGGAGGGAGGAAGGAGAACACCGCTCACCCGACCAAGCCCCCCTCGAAAGAAAAGCCTGGCTAAGTGTCTGATCGAGTATCGATAACTCCCGATTCGGAGCTATGGTGAAGAATCGAGTATTAAGGTGTTCGTTGCCAACACTCTATCTATCGATCCTTATCCATAGGTTTAAATGACAGATTAATCGATACATCACAGAGCAATTTTAGAAATGACGATTCACAGATGATTATTTAAAAAAAAAAAAAAAAAATTGTATTGATGAAGGTAACGCTATGATAAAACAAATGCCTCTCGTCATGTGATTACGACCGAGTTTAACAGAAAGGAGCCAAGTCACATCAGCTATTGCCAAATTTAACTGGGCAATTAAATTTTTTACGACGGAACGTTTGTGCGGATTCCTTTTGAAATTTTTAAGGAATTTGCTTCAAATTATGGAGAATTTTCACTGTTTGCACGTTAATCCGCACAACCGATTTCTTGTAAAAAATTAAATTGCTCAATTAAAGATGGCAATAGCTAATGTGGCTTGGTTCCTTTCTGTTTAACGCAGTCCATGAAAGCTTCTATTTTTCGTACTCAATTCATCAATTTTTCTACTTATGGTCACACTTATTGCGATCCTTGAAAAACATTCAAACACGCCGGAGTGAAATCCTGAATTGGATTCCTTCAGAAATTCAAATTGAAAAACTCAAAAGTTATCAAAAAGATTCCAATTTAGAATAAAGCTGACAATATTCGAATGTTCATGCGTCGTTTTGCCTTGGCACCGCGCTGCGGTGTTGGCGTTGGGTCGGTGGCGCCGAAAGTTTTCCAGTCAAGAGGAAACCGGAGGGAGAGCATAAGAATGTGACGAAAATGGGTTGCCTCCTCTTGAACGCTGACAATTCGATCAAGCTGTCCTAAACTTTTTTATCTCTCAAGTTTTACTGTCGATTCTGTTTTCTTTGGCCGCGGATTTTAATTCAGCGTTGTACGGTCTCATCCGGTTTCCTGTTATCCTTCTCTCCTTTCGCGCTGATCAAAACTTCATTGTATTTCAGAATATCCTCAGGAAACTGAAATTTATTATTTTTTCATCCACTTACGCATGTGTGTTTTTCTTTCAACCGTTCATTTGTATTGGTGCATCAAACTGTATGTCTCACCACCTCTCGGATGGCAATGTGAATTCGGCGATTTATGTTTGGTTGAGGAAAGGCCTTGCTTTTTGGCCAGTCAGAAACTCATGATTTTTAATTTTTATTTTTCAATTTTATCCCTTTTTCCGTCCTCTGTTTTTTTCAGTTGTTTGTAATAACACAGAATTATTTCCCTCTTTCTATGAGTATGACAGTGTACTGTACGATTTCAACGGCAGATATCAACTATGAAAATATAATTAAAAATTTGAATAATGATTTCGATACAGTGAACTGAAATTCGTCTGAACTGTGCACTAATTTACATACTAGTATTGTACCGGTAATGCAGAATTGCGCAAAAGGTCGTAGCATCTGCTACAGGAATGCGCAAATTTAAAAATGAAGTTAATTTAAGGTAGAAGTTTGGCAAATGCATTATTATGTTACGCTAGTTTAGGTTAGTTTGTTGACAAATCATCGATGTCTTACCTTCTGATGATAAATGAAGTGATATGATTGAATATTGGTGGAGGGTATAAAAAACTTACCTGACTTTTCTCGAAAAAAAAAATATTTAATCGGGAGAAACGAGGCAACGTTGAAATGCTTATGCGGCGTCAAAATACAACATGGGCCCTTTCACTTCTGTTATCCGATGCCGCAATTATTACAACGAGAGTTCGAATAAACGCGCCAAATAGTGCAGCCGGCGTTAAACGTACATTAGCGCCTGCAAGACTCTAGGAATACCTCTCGCATTGCGCCAAACAGTGCGGTCGGCGCACAGCCCATATCAGCGCCTACAAGACTGCATGAATACTTCTCGCATTGCGCCAGCTCAGTGCAGTCGGTCAGTTGGTCTGGAACGCATATCAGCGTCTGCAAGAATGTATAGAAATGCTTTGGACTGCGAGTCATCATTTTTGACTTTCTGCTCAAGTTTTTACCATAAATAAATGGGAAATATGTATCCTCATTGTAACAATTTGGAAACTCAGATGATATTTAATTTTGTTTTGGTTATCAGAGATAAATATACGCTTTTTTTCGGGTGTCCCGTTGTGTTTTTAATCCATCCATCTCTTATAAAACTTGAACATGGTTGTTCTACGATTTTTTACGTGTAGTTTTTTTTAGTCGTTGGTGGATAGAGGCCCCTAGTTCACTTTTTAAACGTCTACGAAAGCTCTCTGGGCCAATCGTACTGCGAGGGCTATCCATCGAAGTGAGACATGCCCGTAAATGAATAGGGAATGAACAGTTTTCCACGATGTAGCTATCTACCATAAAGGCTGTCGGATTAACGATTCCTCGTTGAATATTGAATATTCACGCAAACATGTGAGTTTTCAGTACTAGAGAAATTCGCGCAATTCCATGCATATCCAAAAAGGTAAAAGAGGGGGCATTCGCGCAATTCTATCGCAGCCGTATTGTACAACTAACTCATTAGCATTGTGCACTAATTTTTAGTATTGTGCAACTAACTCATTAGCATTTCGCACTAATTTATTTGTATTGTACAAACTAACGCATTACTGTTGTGCGCCAACTCGCTGGAACAACTCCAAATAGTCAGAGTACATCTCCAATTATGGGAATGCAATATCAATAAGTTGTTGCACAACACTGATTTGAGTTAGCTGATTTGAAATCATCCAATCCTTCCTTTCTAGTGTGTGAAGGATTGAAATCTACTTTATATCTATCAACGTAAGATCGAGGTCAAAACAGCACTTCAATTTGAGCACCTTGTGAGCATGAAGGGAAAAGAAGCTTATTCTATTGAAAAACCTAATACTGCGAATTTCGTGGCAGTGTGGATACAACATTTTCCTTTTTTTCTGGGAAGAGATAGAAGATACCATGCCGCTGAATTCCGAGCCCGCGTTTGAGAAAAGCTGATAGTTATTACCTTCAGGGTTTTCACCGTCTTTGAAGCATTCTCAGATGGACGTATTTCTGCCAAACAGAACTAAGTGCATAATGACGTGAGCCCTGTTATGCATGTATTCTTATGGGTCTTAGGGCTCATGTCTCAATGCGCATAGTTTCGTTAGGCAGAAATACGGCCAGATATATATCTGATACGCCTGCCAATAAACGTTCCAGGTGATGTGGTTGTGTGTGATTTTAGCTCACTGAACTGGAAAACAGATTAAATAAATTTTAACTCAGCTCTCGTTATATGTTGCCATCTTAAAACTTTAATTGCTGGTTATGGATGATACTTTTTTATCAGATGTTTCGTTGTTCGAGTTAAAACCTTCAATGGCGAAGGAACTGCATCTTCCGGAACTTTAATCTATACAGGATGATCCAGGGATAAAATGACAGACTGCAGGAGCCAAAACACCCCGAAACCGCCTCACTTTAAATCGAGATCTCGATTTTTTTAATATGAATTCAGGGCATAAAAGTACAGGGGAGTACAAATTTTAATGAGATTTGGTTCACAACCGTTGCCAAAATGAGGGAAAAACTATTCACTCTCCGAATTTAATTTTTGGGAGGGGGGGGGGGGTAACACCAACTGGGGTCATTTTTTAAAAAAAAACTTTATACCACAAAAGAGTCTAATTTTGACCCATAGAGATCGCTCCAGCAGTCTGGCCGTTCAACCCTGGATCACCCTGTATCGCAACTTCTCATGCATGCATATTGCTCTGAATGGAAATTGTGAAGAAAGCACATGCAGCTCTATGATCAGGATACACAAGTTACTTACTAAAAGTTACATTTTTTTTGAAAACTTTTTATCCTTTCAATTTTATAGTTATTTATCATTTATCATTCAATTAATGGAACTAATTATTTTTGATTAATTTATACACAGGTATGAGGCGTAATTTGGCTAGTTATACACACGTTAAAATTTGTGGAAAAAGACGAAAAATCCTTGATTTTCATTGGCCCTGATTCCTTATATTCCCACAAAATTTTTCATATCTTGTGAGTATGTGTTTAGGTTGTAGATTACTAGTGCCACCATTGTCCGTTAGTTTTAGCTTCTTCATTTTATCTTCATCTTCTTGTACCAGTAAGTAAAAGGTCATGAACTGAGTGCTGAAAGACTGAATAAATAATGAGATATTAAGGACAAAATGAGAGTAGGACTAAAGTGAGTTAGAATAAGTTGGAGTGCGCTGATACCCAACCGTGGGCAAAAAATGAGGAAAGTTGTAAAAAGCTCCCCTAATTTAAAGTCATAAAGAATTATCTAAAAAGGTTTACACGTTACATCTCCTGTTGCCTGACGCATGTATAAATTATACACTTTTACGTCTTAGACCAAAAAAGAGAGACAAAGACGATTCTTAATCCAAAGTGAAGGGTTTTTTCTTTCTATATCATATTCAAAGGAAACGGGTCGGCAGGAACAATTTGTTACTCAAGAACGAACAAAATAGTGAAAATTATTAGTCGGATGTATATTTCATGGTAAGTATAATATTGCTTTTAACACACAATATTTTGTATTACAAAATAACATTGTTAAAAATCAAAACAAATGAGTTATGCTTTACAAAAATAAGTTCTAGTATTTACTTCACAATAATATTATGTAACATATTTTATTTGCAAATATATGTACAAAAATTTAGGAATCTCATCCCAATATGGGCTGGATGTGTCTTTTTTAAACATTTCAATTAAATTTGGAATATAACTACTTAATATTTCTCATTTTTTGTTTCCAGGGCTCATACGTCGATTATGCAGAAATATTATCCAACCTGCCCGCGACATCTGAAGTGAAATATTCAAAATGACCAATAATAGGATTTGAAAAATCGAAGATAATAAAAAAACTAAACTAGTTAATAAGATGAATTACTTTGGTAATTCAATTCGTGTCGGCTAGAGAGCTAATATATACTCTTTCAGAGCCAACGTCGAATATAAGTTTACGCACTTTCAGAAAGCGATAGCATTCTTGATTCTTGTATTTAAATGCTGAGCTGAAGACGGCTGATTTTTCGTCACATTGAAAAAGCGCGTAATCTTATTTGGCGAGGTGGTTGATGCTGCTAATTTTCCACACTTTACAACTCGAGTAGGTTTTGATTTTTGAAAATAGATGCTGTTATTTTTATTTTAAGAAATTCTCCATGACTATTAATCCCCCTCCTTTTGTACGTATGTCGAGACTCTCATTAAATGTGATTATGCTAAAATTTTGAAGAGGGGAATCAATTTACGCTATCCCAGCGGCGCTGATTTAATAATGATTTAACGAGTTTAAAAAATAGGAACGTAGAATGTTATGTAAATGGAGTAGGTACATTCAGGATCAAGGAGAAGTCCTAATTAAAACCGTGTTTTTTATGAGCAAATAATTGAAAACTGATGTGAATGTGCTTCATAAGACTAACCGAAACTGTTAAATAACAAATTAAAAAACTTAACACTTGAACGAATAAAATTGTAACGCATAAATAGACAGTGACAAAATACCCGTGTAGACCGAACATTTTTCGGAAATTCGATCCAATAAGCTTTACATTTTGCGCATTACTCAAACAAAAATTTTCATGAAGAGAGAATAATTGTTGTTTTCCCTCTTTTTTTGCATACATCGTCATATACTGCCTCTCCTTCCTTCATGCTTTATGAACGATGAAAATTCCTTATGTGAATGAAAAAATGGGCTCCGCATTGTTTCAAATCTTATAGTTTGTTGTGTATAGGTATAGGTAAAAATATCTTTATTACAGAGTAAATCTATCTTTTTTCTAGGAATGGATTTTCGACTTAATTGTTTAAGTAGGCGCTGAAGAAATAATAATAATAAAAAAAAATTTAAAATCAATTTTAATCGATAACGTGAGAAATGGTATGAGAAAAAAGTTGATGAAAAAAAGGACAAATTCTCAAAGAGTCACTTTTGGAGCCAAATTTGCTTTTCAAAAAGTATATATAAAGTACTGTAAGGACTAGGAATTGGTGATTCATAACTTAGGTTTGATTCTATACTTAATTTAAAAAATTTACACGAGGTCATGACTAAAATGTAAATCACAAAATTACATTTTGAGGTTAGGTTTGTAAACTAAACTCATTTTGCAGAGACAAATAAATTTAGAAACACTCTGTTCTGTTGAATTTCATGTAAGGCATGTCTGTTACACTGTAATAATTCGTCTAACTTCAAAATCAAGGTCAAGATCAACCAGGTGTTTATCGCCGTGTCAGTGCTGAATTGGTGAGGGAGCGGATTGATAAGACGATGTTTGAGGACGAAAATGAGTAGAAATTAGTTTGAAATTGGTACTTTTCTCAGCCCCTGTGCGGCATTTGATAGGCAGCTCGTATATTAGTAATACCAAAAAAAAAAAAAAAATGATTCCTAAATTCTTCATCGGACATCAACAAAAAAGTCAAGATAGTCGAAGCTTCTAAGCCCTCTTAAAAATTGAACTTTGAGGACGGCTCAGAAAATTTCGTTACTGAAAGCTTTTATTTAATTGGGAAGTATTGAAAAATCAAGAGTAAAACATTTATTTCCGAGACAATTCAATAGAGATTCCTTTATGCGCTCCGCCCTAGGCCTATTTTTACGGAGGAAGAAATTCCTCAAAAATCCTCACGTGCCTTGAAAATGTTTGGAAGTTACAATGTTTCACCTTGAAATTGGCCATATATCTTGTTCGCATCCTCAAGCTGAACTTGATCGTAAAATAACAAGCATATATTTATCTCATTTTTGACTAATTTTATGGTTCTCGAGGAAGAAAATGTTATCTCCCTAAAGAGAATTCCAAATTTGATTAGAAATAATGTTTATCGGGGCTGACTTACTCAACTCCGTTTACGCAATGAGTTTTGAAGAACTTGGTCACAAGACTAGAATTTTGATCCGAATTTTACCGATTTCTGTTGAAGGGGCCAACAATTTGTTCGGGGCTATTATTTTAATCAATTTATTTATAAAACTAAAACGTTCCACAAAAATTTATTTTTCCAGTGTTATTTAACTCCGGACCGACTTAATCATCAATAAAACAAAATTTGTAACGGTAGGATCATGGCACAGAATAGAACTTTGAACTATGTACAGAATGGCTAAAAAAGATGTTTCATAAACCAAAGAACGACGAAGCAGTATAAATACTTACAATATATATCTGAGTATTTACAATATAAACAATTGAGAGAATAGACAAAACTGGTAACGAATATTGGAAGAGGGGGAAAACTTAAACATACACTATATGGGGGACCTTCTTGGCTCTGGGTATTTCGTTCGTGTAATCGTTCCCGACTTTTTTGGCGGTGCCTAAGCTGGGGAACGGGTCCCAGTGCTCCATGGAGCCATAATTTTGCTTGGCCGAGGGACTCTCCGGTTGCATGAGGTAGCCGTTCATGAGCATGCTCGTGTAAGCTTTATCTGGGTAGAGGGTAAGCACGGGAGTCCGCGTGGAATTGACCATGACCCCGCGGGACTCGAGGGAACCGGAGGTCTCGTGGCTTTTCGACTTGCCGCAGCTCATCCGCTTCCCGGAAATTATGAGGAACAACCCGATTAACAAAACCGTCAGCAGAGCCAAAGAGGTGGCCGACAGCATGGCGATGGTGAGCCACGAAGTCTCGCAGCGAACCGTGTCCTCCGGTATCTCGCCCACCATCTTCATTTTCAGCTCCTCCGGGGAGGTGCACTTGAGATTGTGGAGAGTGATTTTCAAGGCGTCTGGATTCTTAACACCGGGCGCCGTGATGTTTTCAACCACCCTCGGGGCGGGTTTGGCTGATGCCTTCATTTGCTGCCGCACCAAGACCCACAACCAGAGCAAGGAGCAGTTGCAGTGCAACGGATTCTCCGAGATGTCCAGGACTTTAAGTCGGTCCAGTGGAAAGTGACTGGCGTCTAGAGTTCTCAGCGAGTTCCCTCGCATTTCGATCCGGTTCAAATTCGGGTTCCCGTGGAAAATTCGAGGCGGGATCCGCTCGAGGCCCAGGTTCTCCGATATCCGGATATTCTCCAATTGGATATTGTCGACGAACGCCCGGGCGTCGATGCTGACCAACCGGGGCATTCTCGAGAGCACCAAGTGTCTGAGCTGGAACAAGCTCTTGAAAGACACCGCTCCCACGTCGCTCAGCTCGTTGCCGCTCAAGTCCAAAGTGCTCAGTTTGGTGAGCTTCGAGAGTTGCTGCGTGGGGATTTGCGTCAAGTTATTGAAAGACAAATCCAAGGACGTCAGATCCCGAAGAGAGTTGAAGGCAGACTTATGGATATCACTGATGACGTTGTAAGCTAAGAGGAGTTCCGTTAGGTTGCTCAGCTGCGGGAACGGGAACGAGGTTTCGTTCAGGGTCTGGATGAGGTTGTAGGAGAGGAGGAGCGAGGAGAGCTGCGCGTGATTCGGCAGGGACTTGAGTGCCTCGCTCGGGACGTCCACGAGCTCGTTCCGCTCGAGGATGAGAACCTGGAGATTGGGCAGATTGCGGAAGAGCGAATCTCCGTGGAGGGAGACGATCCGATTCCGGGTCAAGTTGAGCGTCTCCAACGAGACGGTATCGTTGAAGGCGTGGTTGTCGATCCGCTCGATGTTGTTGTTGCTCAGATCCAAGAGTTTGAGGGCGCGGAGCCCTTTGAAAGCATCCCTGCCGATGGCGGAGATCTGGTTGTGGCTGATGTTGAGCAAATGGAGGTGGGTCTGGTACTGGAAGTTGCGGCTCCCGACCGACTGGAGCTTGTTCTCGGACATGTCGATGTGCTGGAGTTTCGAGTAGATGCTGAAGTCGCAGAGGATGCCGGGCGTGCAAGATATGAGGTTGCCTCTCAGGTGGATGACCTGGAGGTCGGGGTTGAGCTGGATCGGGATGTATTCCAGTTGAGCGTGGGTGCAAGAGGCCTCGAGAACGTCGTCGCGGCAAGTGCACCCGGTGGGACACATCGGGCTCCCTCTGCCCATGGCTATCGCTGACCAAAGTAGAAGCGGCACGGCCACCCAAATCATGGACACCTTGAAGCGCAGTTTTCGGCCTCGTCCAGGTCCCCTCTCGAGGAGCTCCTCTTCCTCCCCACCCCCCTCCCCGTCGCCGTCTCCTTCTTCAGCTCCGGCATCGCCGTCCTCCTCGAAGTCCTTGTGCGCGAAAAGCATGACATTTCTTGCTGCCGCCGTCGCTTCATCCTCCATGACAGGCGAAAAAGTTCATTGGACCTGCAACAGAAAGTTCAACATTTCTTTTAGATTCTAGATCTATGGCGTGCCTATATTCTCTGAGGTATGCACACTGGAAAAAAACGCATTAGATCTAGAGTCCAGACTCTTGAAAACATTCACAAGAAAAAATACTCTTGATTCAATCAGATTTTTGCTTAAATCGTTGGAAATCCGCTCAAATTAAGAGGCTTGGTTCTTGATTTAAGCAAAAATACGATTGAATCAAGAGTATTTTTTCTAGTCGATGTTTTTAAGAGTCTGGACTCTAGATCCAATGTGCTTTTTTTCCAGTGCAGTCTCTTCTAGTGGTGTCTAAGGCTCTAGTGACAATTTTTTTATCGATACTCCTTTTTTTTCTTCTCGTATAATTTCACCTAAAAGGGTTGCCCTGCTCAAAGGAAAACAAATAATAATAAAAGTAAGCATCAGAAGAGCTTCCCCGCGGAATCTCAAAATCAAATTTTTTGATCTAACTCGACAGAACCAGCTTTATCAAAAATATGTTCTACTCTAGTTGTCCTTCTGCTTGTGAAAAACTGTATGAGATATTTTTTTTTAACATGGGTACTTTCATTTCCCATTGCGATTCATTATATTTCATCACGGATATCTACTGATTGTCACGGATTGTTAAGAATCGTCACGGATCGTAACGATATGGCACATTAATGGTTACGGAAAGCTACGGTGCATAACGCTATGTTACGATGCTTTAAAGTACGTTATAATGTACGTTACGAATCGCTAAGAAACGCTGCGGATCAAAACGGATCGATACGTTATACGTTACGGATCATTCCAGTCCGCCACGGTACATTAAGAATCGCTCCGGATCGTCACAGTAAGTTATGGTGCTCAAAAGTACGTGATAGATGGTTACAGTTATTTATGAATAGATACTGATCGTCACGACACATAGGGGTGAAGTGATGGCAAAAAAGGCTCGATATCACTGGTGGATTCCTTGCTGAACTGAGTCACAGTGGCTAAACCACTGGTCACGACTATACGTGCTCCCAAGGCGCTCATAATGCCATCACGATTATTCAGGGCGGATCCACAGAGTGAAGGATACGCAGTAATGAGGATAATCGACGTTTGTTCCTCGCCGAGACTGAGCAAATGTAACAAAACTACTGCGCGCAACTATTCGTGGTCCCAAGGCGCTCATATGGGCCTGTTGCAAACTTTTGCTAGAGCAAAAATAAGAGTTGCTTCTTGTAGATAATGCCTCAAAAATCACGATGAGCGCATCGGCAAAGTCTGAAATGCACTCATAACTTCACAATCTGCGTAAGAAATTTGCGTTTTTTTAAGCTTCCCGCTTCAAAAACGATACTACGGCGTAGGTGAACATTTTGTTAGAGGAGTCGCTCCATCGTCGGCGATATTCATCATGGCCGACGCTTGCACGCAGTTCCGCGCGTAATTCAAGGAGAGTTCAAGGTCAATCCATTCGGGCGTGGAAAATATGAACGTTAACACACCGATTGTTATCTGGTCTAATCCAATTCAGGTGTTATCTCGTCCCATCAAACGTGTTTTGGCGGATTGGCGTCGGCTATGATGATTATTGCCGACGATGGAACGACTCCTCTTACAAAATGTTCACCTGTGCCGTAGTATCGTTTTTGAAGCGGGAAGCTCAAAAAACCGCAAATTTCTTACGCAGATTGTGAAGTTATGAGTGCATTTCAGAGTTTGCCGATGCGCTCATCGTGATTTTTGAGGCATTATCTATAAGAAACAACTCTTAGTTTTGCTCTAGCAAAAGTTTGCAACAGGCCCATTGCCATCAGGTTCATTGAAGGCGAACTCCATCGAATGAGAGACACGCAATAATAAGACTATTTATAAAAACTAACTAGAATTTTTATAACCCTGTGACAGTTTTTCGGAAATTCGAATTTCAAAATGCCGGGAATTTCCGTTTTTATTTGGGAGCGGGGGATGCACTATGGTACAAAACTAAAGAATAGGAAGAACGAAAGTTTCGTAACTGATGTTTCTTGAGTCGCTAATTTTGAGTTTGATGTCAAATTGCCTACATTTTAACACCCTGACCTATTAATTGTGGGCAATATTACGGCACGCTGCGGCGCGGTGTGTTGCCAGCTCAAAACGCGCACTGACGCCTACAAACCTAAGGGGATACTTCAAGCATTGCGCAATGCGTGAAGTAGCCCTTTAGGTTTGTAGGCGTCGGTGCGCGTTTCGCGCTGGCAGCACGCCGCGGCTCTCCCGGCGCGATGTGAGTACACATTATGTCCTAAATTGATGGAATACCTTTAGAGAGTTCGCTCGATCTTATTTTAAAAATATTTTGGAGAAAATAAAAAAAAAATTGCAATCACTTTCTAACATTTGAAGGGCTGAGCGTTATTGTCATGTCTACGTGCTAATTATCTGTAGACCATTCAACTACATACATTAGTTACTTTACAATAGGTCGTAATTATTGTGTTTTCTGCTTTAGTTTATTTAGCTAATAAAAGTGTACGGATAGCCTTTACGAAAAACAGAAAACAAAGATAGTATTTACATACCCCAACGTTATATGCATATATGCAATTTAGATGGGAGCTCGAAGACGGACCTGAAAACCACCCTTGCGGAAATATTCACATTCCTCGACGGGGATAGAGGTAAAATTTGAATGCAATGATAAATTAAATATAAATGCAGTGTTTTTGGAACTGAGTTGATGCTGGAAATAAATTGACGTGCATAGTCTCTGGGCGCGTGTGTAATTAGCTGATTTAAAATTCAACCCAACTCTTGACGAGGAGTTACCTCTGAGCCAGCGTGGCGGCCAGGCGCGCAAAATAGTTAAAAGTATGGCTTGAATTAAATATCTGAAACGCTTCCTACAGCAAAGTTGCCGAGTTTGAGTTGAATTTTATTGCCCATAATATTGTTACTGTTACTGTTATGGACGTGAGTGGATACTTCCGTCAGAAAACGTACGGCGTTTTTCAGTGTTTGATATAAATTATATCAAAGGACAAATCTTTAATAAACGGAAGATTTGACTCTATAAATTAGGGTTAAGCAGAATGATTTTCAGGGCTATATGCATCGGTATACTTTCTCAAATCTGAAAAATCCATATTTTCGGACTTTGATGCAAATATCTCTTTTCATTCGTTTCTTATGGAGTTCATTGATCGCTATAATTTGTAATTCAAATTTTTCTTCTATTTTCTTTGTTGTTTTTGTTTTTTTTTTTGGAAGGGGAGGGGGATAATAACTCTCTTTATTAATTTATATTATATTACAGCCTGGAAATGAAGTAAACAATACTGCATCTCGAAGATAGGAAGGTTTTACGATGGATTATATATGAGACAGACTCACATGATCAAAGTTCTTAATCTAATGTCTCTGATCGCCAGCGAGATATTAAGAGTTGTTAGGATCAGAATTCGGTGCTATATCTTCATTTGATAAACTACAATCTGATTGCAGATGATTACATCTAAAGCTATAAAACGCTTATACGTACTGGTGCTGGAGACAGCTTCGAAAAATATTCCCGAATTAAATCAAGGAATTAGCTACTTCTTGGTATTGACGGTTTTTGGTTCTCATTCTTGGGTTGATACATTTTTCTCTTAATTTTATCTTTGCTAGAAAAATTGACATTTTTGTCATCATAATCGATCCTTTACAATATTCAAATTGCACTTATTATTCTGGTAAAAAAGCACTCAGGGATACGTTTTCCGCAACGCTTAAATTTTCAGAGTCTCTGTTTTGCCTGACGTGCTAACGCCAAGTACTGCTAGTTCATTTCCCCAGTTTTCCTTGTTTATATCTCTTTTCACACGAAGCTTTAAGTCCAACGTATGATGTTTCAAACTACTATAAAGGGAGACTCCGATCATGGTGGTGTGCTGGATGTTCTAGTGTTCAACAAGAAATGAGGGGCCTGGAGAACAAGGCGCATAAGTGCCGTTTTTGCTTTTTTGAGAAATATGTGTTTGAAGTTTCAAAATTACATGGATCCTCATGGCAGAAAGGAAGTTTAAACTCATTTTTTGATGCTTAAAAAATAGATTTTACCAGTAAATTTTTCACAGAATTCATTTCAAACCTATATTAAGGTGAAATCACTATTTTTTTTTTCTTTTATTTATTTAAACTGCACTTATGCACCTTGTCCTCCAAGCCCCTCAAATATAAATAAAACGGTGACTGGATTGAATTTTAAGAATTCAGTAAACGTGCTGAGGTAGATGACCATACTTTTCCAGGTGTAAACGCCGAAAGAGTTGGCAACTGAGGGTGAGTTTTGCGGGATGGAGGGTAGTGATAAAAACGAGAGAAACGGCGGCTGGTGGGAAATTGTCGGGTGGGGGAGGAGGTAGATGGCCACCACAGGAGCGTAATTTGAAACACCCGAAGCGTTTGCTGAGTGATTTACATTTATGAACCGGGCTTCGACATTGAGTGCGTTTTAAATTTCGAGACGCAGCTTCATAACTCACTTTTTTTCGCGCTAAGCGTTTTTAAGTCAAGATTTATGAACTCCTAAATATGCCCGCCCCGAGCTCGGCCGATAGTAAAGATACAAGTGTCGAGTGTTGGCTATTTTGTCGAACGTTTCTCACCCAAGATTCCTACTCCTGAATGCGCAGCACGTTTCTTCAGTTCCTCTTAACCTCGTATTTCACCTCCAATTTACCTGCTTACGCACCTAATAAATCCAGTGAAGATCCAACTGGCTTTGACCTACATACTCGTGGATTCAATAACTTGTGAGGGGAGGGTCTGGAAGCTAATAGGAAAATTGTCTATCAGAGATAAAGGAGCAGCGTATGAAGAAGATGAGGAACGGGTGAAAGAAAGGTAGAGAGAGAGAAAGGAGTGAGGAGCAAGGTCAGAAGGAAAGTTTGGCTCAAGGGGGAAAAACGCCTTCAATTGAGAATGATACTGTGCAACACATGGGAGCTTGAATAGTGGTATCATTCCATTATCTATTATTTACGATATTC